CAACCTCAGTTTTCCCTTTGTCAGTTGTGATTTATTTTGTGTAAAATAGGGTCTCATACAGCCCAGGTTTACCTCAAAGTCATTGGGAAGCCAAGTGATCCTCCCACCTCCCTTCCCCAGCGCTGGAATGATAGGTGTGTGTCCCACGCTTGTCTTGGTGGAACCAGGAGTCAAGCCTGGGTTTGTGCAGGTTGGGCGAGGGCTCTGCCTACTAAGCTGCACGCCAGCTGCCTAAGTGTCTTCAGGGCTGGACCATTGGTTTGGTTCGTTTATTAAGTTGTTGTTATTGTTTTTTAAGGAAAAAACCACACAAAACAGGTTTGTTAAGTACACTGTAGCGGGTGGGGCAGTGTGCCAGGCAGTAAGGGAGTGCTATCGACAAAGTTGTTCTTTAACAGTGTTCTTTTTCTTTGAAGGACCCATTACAGTAGGATGCTTTTTTCATTTTTAGAGATCAGATGCTAGACAATTTGTAAATTGAACCACACCACAGCCCTATATGATGGGTTTGCTTTAACTATTTTACAGAACTTCCTTTTGTTTGTTTTGTTTTATTAGACAGGGTTTCTCTTTGTAGCACTAGCTGTTCCTGGAACTCCTTCTGTAAACCAGCCTAGCCTTGAACCCACAGATATCTGCTTGCTTCTGCTTCCAGAGTGCTGGAATTAAAAGTGTGTGCCACCACTGCCCAACCTCACACTTTTTTTGTTTTGTTTTGTTTTTGTTTTGTTTTTCACGACAAGGTTTCTCTGTATTCTTTTGGAGGCTGTCCTGGAACTCACTCTGTAGACCAAACTGGTCTTGAACTCATAGAGATCCATCCACCTGCCTCTGCCTCCCGAGTGCTGGGATTAAAGGCATGTGCCACCAACGCCCAGCAACCTCACACTTTCTTTATTCCATTATTTAATTAATTTCTGTATTTATTTATTTATTGGAGGCCTGTGTTCCATGGTGCACATGCCACATACACGTGGAGGTCAGAGGGCAACCTTTGGGAGTAGGCTCTCTCCTTCTACCATGGGAAACTTGGAGATGGAATTTACATGTCAATCAAGCTTGGTAGCAAGCACCCTTCCCTCCTGAGCCATTCTATGTCTGTTTGTCTTTCTCTGTGCGCCACACCCCCCTCCCTCTTGTTTTTTAGATAGGGCCTTAATCACCCATGCTAGCCTTGAACTCAAGACTGTCATCTTACAGGTTGGAGATTTTAGCTCAGTAGTAGATTGTTTGCCTGGTAATCAAAAGGCCCTGCGTTTGGTCCCCTGCCTCAGCCTCCCAAGTGCTGGGGATACAGATTTGTGTGACCACAACACAAGCAGCTGGTTTTTTCTTTCTTTTTTTTTTTTTGGATTTGCTTTGGTGTTTGGGACATAGTAGACACCAAGAACTCCCCCCCCCCCATCCTTCCTCCCTCTCTTCGTTCTTTTTCTTTTACCAGGAATTAACTCAGACCTTGTGTGTGCTAGGCAGACTGTATACACACTCAGCCCAGACCCCCTCCCAACACACACACACACACACACACACACACACACACACTTTTCATTTTCTCTTTTAAGTGTGTGTGTGTGTGTGTGTGTGTGTGTGTGTGTGTGCACGTTGCCTGCATGTATCTCTGTGGACCATTTGCACGCAGTGCTCCCAGGGGGCCAGAAGAGGGCGTCACATCCCCTGGGTCAGGAGTTAAAGTCTGTGCTCTGAGCCATGTCTCCAGCCTCTCAACCTTTTTAGAAAAGCTTCCAGTCCTTCTGCCTCAGCCTCCCCAGTGCCTTACTCCTTGAATGAAGACTTCAGTTATTTTGAATTTCTCACTGAAACGAATACAGAGTACAGAATCCATTTTGTGTTGTTTGTTTTTATTGTGTCATCTGGATATTAATCCCTTGTTAGGATATGAGTTCCAAGCGTTCTCTTCTGTTCCACAGAAGCTTTTCACTGTACTGATGCTGTCCTGTAGTTCACATATGTCTTGGATGTTGTTGAAAATCCAGTTCATCTATTTTTATTTTGTTGCCTATTCTTTGGTATGGAATCCAATGAGTCACTGCCAAATCCAATGCTATGACTGGACTTGGTGGCACAGGCCTATACTTGGAAGGCTGAGGCAGAAATGTCTTGAGTTCAAAGATCAGATCCCACATGGGGTCTATAGTGAATTCCAGTCAGGGTGGCTACATAGCAAGATTCTATTTATTTTAAAAAAAAAAGTAGGGTGGAGAGATGAGTCCTCGATTAAGAGCACTTACTGCTCTTGTGGAGGACAAGGGTTTGGTGGACAGCACCCACAACCCTCTGAAACTCCAGTTCTTGGGCTCTTGCGCCCTCTTCTGGTCTCCTCAGGTACTACATGCACATGGGGCACAGACATACCCTCAGGCACACACACCTAAAATAAAATAGATAAATATTTTTGAAAAGAAATGAGAAAATCCAATCATGAATCCTTTCTCTGTGTCTTTTTCTAAGTTTTGTAGCTTTAGCTTTTGACCCATTTGGTAGAGGGAATTCTGTGAGGACCCAGCTTTATTTTCTTGCGTATGGATATCTGGTTCCTGAGACCATGCTCTGAAAATAACCATACTTCCCCTTTGGATGATCATGGCAAGCTTGTCAGAAATCATTTGACCATACATGTAAGGGTTTGTTTCTGGATTATTCTATTCCATTTTTGCATATATCCTTTTTCATGCCTATACCACTCCGTTTACTTATGATAAAATGTATAACATAAAATTTACCATTTTTAAGTGTACAGTTGAGTGGCATGAAGGACATTCATATCATCACCACTTTTCTTTTGTCCATTGTATTCCATTCAGAATATTCCATTGTATAATACACTGTTATTCATTTCCTCCCTCTGCTAGGAGACAGCCAGCTTATTTTCACTCTCCAGCTGTTATAGCTAATGCCACGATAAATGAAGTAACTTTAGAAGTCATTTTTTACTAGGTGGTGGTGGCGCATGCCTTTAATCCCAGAAATTGAGAGGCAGAGGCAGGTGGATTTCTGTGAGTTCCGTAGCCTGGTCTACAGAGTGAGTTCCAAGGCAGCCAGGGCTACACAGATAGGGAACCCTGTCTTGAAAACAACAACAACAAAAACCCAAAGAAATCATTTTTCTTATGTAAAGGTATCTATAGGATAAATTCTGAGAATCTTTCTTTCTTTTTATTTTGTCGAGACAGGGTTTCTCTGTGTAACAGTCCTGACTACCCTGGAATTCTCTTTGTAGACCAGGCTGACTTTGAGCTCACAGAGATCCACCTGCTTCTGCCTCCCAAGTGCTAGGGTTAAAGACATGTGCCGCCACCACCATCTGAGAATCATCTAACATTTGTTTTTATAGTTTTGGCAATACTTTCCAAAGAGGTTTTACCTCTCCACCAGTAATGTTAGACCTCATTCCCCATCTTTTCCCAGTGTTGCTTATTAGCTTCTGAAAAAAAATCTTTCTACTTGATAAGTAAAATATGTCCTGCTGGAGATGTAGCTCCCTTGGTACAGTGTAGCATCCCCAGCACCACATAAAACCAGGTACAGCGGTGCACATCTGTGATCCCAGAGCTTATGGGGTGAAGGCAGGGTCATAAGTTCAAGACCAGATTAGACTACAGGTGAGACCCTGTCTTAGAGAGAGAGGGAGGGAGAAAGAGAGAGAGGGGGAGGGAGGGAAGGAGGGAGGGAGAGAGGGAAGCAGGGAGGGGGTTAATGGGTAAGAGCTCTCACTGCATGAGGACCTCTTGGGATCCCCAGCACCCACATAAAAAGCTGAGCATGTTGACACACGCCTTTCATCCAAATACTCAGGAGACAGAGACAGTTAGATCTCTGTGTGTTCGAGGCCAGCCTGGTCTATATAGAGAGACCCTGTCTCCAAAACAAAACAAACAAAGCCAGGCATGACCCATATACCTATAACCCCAGAATTGAGAAGATGGGTTGGGTTCAGTGAGGGAACTTTTCCAAGGGAGTGAGGCAGAAAACGTTAAGAGGAAGACATCCATGTCCTTTTCTGTCGTCTGTGCAAGCTCTCATGGGTGTGTGCACCTCTGCGGACGCATGCATACACACACACCACCTCTGTCCCTCTCTATCTCAAATGAAACAAACAAAAATAACCCCATGTCATCAAGGACATTGTATAAATGAGCTGTAGTGACTGTATCCTTTATATTAACACCTTAGCTTGGTCTAAATTCAGGCATTGCATGTAGTGAGACTACCTGACAACTGTCTGCTGACAGCAGCTACACTTTCAAGGATGCTAAAGTATGTGTGAGGGAAAAGGAGGCCTGTGCATGTTAGAATTCATGGAGTGTTGTTTTTAGTTGACTAATTCCAAAGGTTTTTTGTTTGTTTATTTGTGGGTTGTTGGTTTTTTTTTTTTTTTTTTTTTTTTTGAGACAGGATTTCTCTCTCTTTTTTTTTTTTTTTTTTTTTTTGAGACAGGGTTTCTCTGTGGCTTTGGAGGCTGTTCTGGAACTAGCTCTTGTAGACCAGACTGGTCTCTAACTCACTGAGATCCACCTGCCTCTGCCTCCTGAGTGCTGGGATTAAAGGCATGTGCCACCATCTCCTGGCCCAAAGGTTCTTGCTGACCTCAGACTCACAAGTAGCTGAGGATGATCTCAAACACCTGATCCTCCTGCCAGGAAGGGCATGGAGTTTACATCCAGTTTATATAGTGCTATGGATGGAGCCCAGAGCTTTGTGAGTGTCGAGCAAGCACCCCACCAACTGAATTCCTTACATAGCCCCTTGCCCTGCACAGTTGTTTTTCACATTTGATCTCATCCTCATGAATCATCATTTTTATCAAAGCACGTGACTTTATGGGGCGCAGGAAGTAAAGGCTGCTGTGAGTCTCTGCCTCCTCTAGGAGACTTGATTAAAGATAAATGCTGGCAGAAATAGGTGCACAAATACTTTACTAAAATGGAGAGAGTAAAAATAAAGGTCAATTTGAAGACATCTTTTTTCTCCCTTCTCTGAAGGTACCAGAAGGCAGCTGAAGAGGCAAACACGGATAAGAAGAGAAATGTGAGTACTCAGAGGCCCCGGGCAGGTGGAAGGAACTTAAGCAGTCTGTGTGGCCAAGCCACCTGCCCCTGTGTGGAGCATGGACTCTGTGTCAGCTGAGCTGGACATGTGTGCCAGCTGGTCTGGTCCCTCAGCCATTTGCTGAGAGAAGTTGGCTTAGGCGAAGGGAATCTTATTTTCAGATTTTTCCTTTTGGACCCCCTTTTTTTCTTCCCTGTACTGAGTAAATGATAGAAGGCCAGATGCTTTACTAAGGTTGGTAAAATGGCCACGCAATCAGCTTAGATGATAGCAGGTTTCCTGGGTCACCATCCCTTTCTCCAAATGGGACAGTCTGCATTTAAAAGAAAGCTGTGCAGCTGGGCTCCTCCACTGGGCTCTTTCTGGAAGCTGGCTCCTAGACCCGGTCTAGTTAGTGAATTTCACAGCTGCTGCGGGGTCCTGCCAGCACCCTGCTGGTCCATTCTCTACTCTCCCCACTCTCACTTCCTGCTAAGCCGGATCATTTTCCCCTTTTTTTTTTTTTTTTTTTTTTTTTTTTGGTTTTTCGAGACAGGGTTTCTCTGTATTGTTTTGGAGGCTGTCCTGAAACTCACTCTGTAGACCAGGCTGGCCTCGAACTCACAGAGATCCGCCTGCCTCTGCCTCCCGAGTGCTGGGATTAAAGGCGTGCGCCACCAACGCCCGGCCATTTTCCCCTTTTTTAGGGTGGAAGTTGCTCTCACTGTACAGCCAGACTGACTTTGAACACACAAACTAAAGAAATCCCTTAGCTTTAGCTTCTAAAGGAGTCAATGTCATAAGGAACATAGCTTAGATGGCTGTATAACATTTACATGTTGGTTTGTGTCTCTAGGGGAGTGGTATTAACTGGGTCTTGAGCTTAATTTTCCTGTGGTTTGAACATCGAGCTCCCTGGTACATTAATAGAAAAAAGCATTTGGTCCTGGTGATCCATGCTGGTAATCCTAGCCTCAGAAGCTGAAGCAGGAGGATTGCTGCAAGTTTAAGGCCTCCCTGAGCTACACAATGAGTTCTTGACCAGCCTTGCCTGCAATGTAAAACCCTGTCAAAAAAAAAAAAAAAGCTAAAAGAGAAGAAAAAACCCCACTATCCACTCAGTTGCCCTCACCTTCTCTCTCCTGCAGGTTCTCCCACTTCCTCCATTTTTCCTTTTACTCAGTTAATTAACAAGTTTTTGTAGGGCACCTACTATGTGCTAAACACTATTTTAGACACTAACAATATGGACCACATCTCGGGAATTTTCATTCTAGTGGAAGAAATAATGACCAAAAAAAGCCAGGGAGCGGCTGTTGGTTTAAAACATTTCAAAGAAGATACAAAAGGTATTGTAGGTGTGATCCTCTCATCTGGTACTTACTTGTTAAGTAACCCTATCTGAGGTCATGAGCCAAAGAGAGGAAAGGTTTGGACAGAAAGAGCAACAGGCAAAGGTCCCGGGGAATCGAGGTGTTGCTATACTGAGGACTAGAAAGAGAAAGTTCTGCAGAGTTCAGGGGAAGACTTGGGCTTCGGCTCTGAAGAGAAAGGACTTTGGAGAAATGTGCAAAGGATGGATGTGACCCAGCTTAAACAGTTGGGGAACAAAGGCGGGGAGCATCTAAGGAGCGTTTCTGGGCCTGGAGATAAGCTAGATGGTAGACTACTTGCTTAGCATTATGAGGCCTGGGTTCAATCCCTAGCACAGAAAAAACCAGGTGGAGACATGCCCAAGCCCACCCCTGGGGAGGTGGAAGCAGGAGGACCAGAAATTCTAGGTTATTCTCAGCTACGTCGTGAGTTCAAGGCTAACCTGGGCTACATGAGACCCTGTCTCAGAAGAAAGAAAGGCAGGGAGGAAAGAAAGGAATCAATTACTCAAGATGTGTGACGTAGGACTCACATCTCAGCATGACTAGGGAGGCTGAGGACAGCTTGAGCTATAGTGAGTTGAGGTCAGTGAATGCGAATGGTCGTTACATAAGGAGATGTACTAGCCATGTGAGCCAATGGTTAGCCTCCCCATGGTCAGAGGAGCACAAATAAACCAGTGAGATGTCCACTGTGATATAATCAGCAAATAAATTTGAAAAAATGTCAGTATTCACTAGTGGGGAACAGGGAATCATGGTACAATCATACAATGTAATATCTGTTCTATCTGGTTAAGATTTATGTGTGTGATATATACATGTCACATGCCTGTAATCTCAGCACTCAGGCAAAGCAGGAAGAGTTCTGGGCTATGTATAAAGACCTATCTTAGCTGGGCATTGGTGGCGCACGCCTTTAATCCCAGCACTCGGGAGGCAGAGGCGGGTGTGTAGAGTGCAGCCTTCCCACCAGCCTGGTTCCAGAGCCGCATCAGTCCCAAATGAACACACAAGAGGCTGTATTATTTATGAAGCTGTTGGCCGTTTGCTTGGTTTCTTACTGGCTAGCTCTGACTTAAGTATTTACCCCATAATTGTTTATCTAAGTATTTCTCTTACCGGAGAAAGGGTCTGGACCTTTTACTCCTCTGGAGGCTACATCGTGGCTCCTAGTGTTTCTCTTTCCCAGAATCCTGCTCGACTCCTAGTCCCACCTATCTTGCTTCCCTATTAGCCATTAGTGCTTTATTCAACAACCAATAAGAGACAGATTTACAGAACGGCAACTCCCATCACAGGTGGATCTCTGTGAGTTCAAGACCAGCCTAGTCTACAAGAGCTAGTTCCAGGACAGCCTCCAAAGCCACAGAGAAACCCTGTCTCGATAAACCAAAAAAAAAAAAAAAGAAAAGAAAAGAAAGTAAGATGACTGAAATGTGAGGAAATGGAAATTATAACCCACCCTGTGCTTTGAGGACCCTTCACTATGCAATGCAAGAGACAGCACTTAAAATAACAAGAAATAAAAGAGCCTTTTTTGAAACTTTTTATTTTGAAATTGTTTTTTAATTAAAGTAATTAAGATGATACTCTCCTATACCTTCGTCTAAGTGAGTGTGGTGGTATACACCTGTAGTCCCAGTACTCGGGAGGCTGTGGCAGGAGGAGCATAGATTAGAAAACAATCTACATAGTAGGGCGCTGCCTCAAAACAAAAAACCCAGCTGGGAAGATGGATGAGCAATTAAGAGTTTGCATTGCTCTTGCAGAGGACTGGGTTGCATTCCCAGTTCCTGCACCAGGCAGTTCACAACGACCTCTAACTTCAGACCCAAGGCCTCTGGCCTCTGAGAGCACTGGCACACACATGCACATACCTATACACATATACATAAATAAAAGCAATAACTAGTACACACATGTGCACACCCCTTTATCAAGCTTCTGATTTACTGTACAGAGCTCTGAAAACATTCCTCAAAGCCGGGGGCTAGTCAGATGGCTCCTCAGTTAAAAGACTAGTTATGGCTGCTCTTCGAGGACCCGGGTTCAATTCCTAGCACCCACATAGCAGCTCACAACTGTAACCCCAGCTCCAGGGGTTTAGACACCTTCATACAGACATACATGCAGGCAAAATACTAATGAAAAATAATTTTCTCAAATCCATGGAGTGCTATGATGTAAACTATAAACTTTATTTATTTATTTTATTTACCAGTTTTTCGCTAATGACAGAGATCTGCTTTTCTTCTCCCAGGACAGAGGGACATGTTCACACACACATGGCAAGTACTTTACCATGAAGCGAAGCCAGTGCATTTCCCCTGGTAACTGTAGTGGGATTGACTGCATGATAGCCTACGTTCCCAGAAATGTGCTTACCATTTTTCTACCCAAGACATGGGAGCGCAGACAGTAACCGTACTGTTGCTCACAGTCTCAGGTCCTTCCCAAGCTCAGACTGCACCTTCTGGAGATGTGTGCCTTGTGCACCAAGCCATGTGGGCACCCAGCCGTGCGCCCAGATTCTAGTTCCTGTGTTTCTGGAAATGTCAGCGTGGTGATTTCTCCCCTCTGAGAGGCCCTACCCAAACGTCTTCCCACCTTTTTTCCCTTTTGACGTGTGTTAGGTCTTGCACCCAGGACAAATGGCTAACTGAGGCGCCTGTAGACATGTCAAAGCAGATACTGCCCGCCAGTCTCCACATTGCCAGGGCCTGCCATGCCCACTTCTGACCCTGAGCTCCCCAGCCGGGTCTGCACTGGGTCTTCCATCCCTAGCTTCTCTTACCCTATAAATCCCAGCCGTTTTGGCCCCACCTGTCTCCTCCTGGCCTCTTGGCTTCTCCCTTCGCCCACATGGCCTGGTTCCATTTGCCAGACATGATCTGGACTCTGCCTCTGCCTGTGCTCTCCCTTATACCAACCCCAGAGGGACAGCCACACCCTTCTTTTATTTCCTTTCTCCATTCAACGTAGAGATTTCCTAGCTAGTCCTGACTGGTGAGATTTCCTATCTAGTCCTGACTGGCTTGCTTTTATATTGCTTTCAGCAGGGTCTTGCATGTTACGTGGCCCAAACTCTCAGCAATACTTTTGCTTCAGCCTTCCAATTGCTGAGATCACTGGCAAGTAACCACTATACCTGGTTCCTCCTCTTGCATCATTCACTGATCTTATTTATTTGCTTTTTTTTTAAAAGATATGATCTTTCTACATATAGGTTCCTGGCTGGCTTTGAGTCACAGACCCATAGCTCTTCTTTCTCCTCAGCCCCCCAAATTCTGGGATTACAAGCCTTAACCCCCATACCCAGCTTCATCCTGCTTTTTTGTTTTTGAAACGATGTGTCATGTAGCCAAGGCTGGCTACATACTCCCTGTGTAGCTGAAGATGACCTCAAACTCTCCCGATCCTCCTGCGTCAGATTCAGCCTCTGCCAAGTGCTGGTGCCACTACACTCAACTTTCTGTCTTTTAAAATGACCTACCTGGCAAGATTTCCTCATGCCAGCTCACTGAGCCACCTCTTCATGTTACATTCAGGAGAGGAAGAGAGATTTAGCCAGAGTTACGCATTTGGAAGGGACTGAGTTCTGGCTCATCAAAGTCGCATGGTCATACAGGAGGGACCCTATGTTATACCTCTGTGATCTGGACTCCAGCAGCAGCTATTATCCGGAGACATCGTCTGCCAGCTCTCAAGTTTGCAGGGTGGAGTGGATCTGGTGCAGGGTGCTGTTGGGAGAAAGAAAGCCATGGAAGTGTAGCAGCTGCTGTGACTGTTAAGAACGGGGGCCTTTGTGACCCATCAGTCACAGGAGAAGCAAAAAGCTTGTGAGGAACGGCGGCACCTAGAACCTCACCGTAATCTGTGCTGCTTACCCCACCTCCCGGAGTGAGCGGAAAGGATGATATTGAAGCCCAGGCTCAGGGTTCTGGGGTGGCTGGTCACTGTGGCCGACCAGAAGTATGCAGGGCCGTGGTACTTTTTTGCTTACTACTGTGTGTTTACACTTGTGTCCTGGGGATTGAGCCAGGGTCTCACACATGCTGGGAAAGCGCTGCTCCACTTAGCTATATTCCCAGCCCTTTTATCCCTTTTTTATTTTAGACAGGTTCTTGCTGAGTTACCTAGGCTAGTCTTGAAGTCATTCTGTAGGCCACAGAGGCCTTTAATGTATAAGCCATCTTGTGTCAGCCTCCTGAGAGGCTGGGATTACAGGCCTATGCCACCAGGCCTGGCAATAGTCATTTAATAATATTGTCACTGCATACTAGAAGCCTACCTATATCAAATTCTATATTACATAGATGAATAAAGGCTCATGTATTCTTTACAGTGACCCTTCATAATAGTGCATAGAAACTGGAAAACCTGTCCAAAGTCACAACATGGCTGGAAGGGGATAGATAATGCAAATAACACATGCTAATTGTAAAGAGTACTAGGAAAAAGCTAGGTGTGGTGGTGCGCACCTTTAATCCCAGCACTAGGGAGGCAGATGCAGGTGGATCTCTCTGAGTTCGAGGCCATCCTGATCTACAGAGCTAGTTCCAGCACAGCTAGGGCTGTTATACAGAGAAACCCTGTCTGGAAACCAGCCCCCCCCTCAAAAAAAAAAACAAAGAAAAGCATTTTTCTGCATCAGTGAAAATACAGTGATTCATGATTGTATCTGAAAAAGTAGTGTCCAGTCACTAAGGCGGATGTAGCTCTACCTCTCAGGGTTCCCTGCGGGCCTGGTGCAAGTGAAGGCAGGGAGGGACCTCAGTGACACATCTTGTCTGTGGCAGGAGGTGATGCTGCCGGCAGTGAAACACTAGCTTTGAGGGACATTTTCCATTTATTTTATTTTTGACACAGGGGCTGTGTTGTGCAGGCAAGTCTTAAACTCCTGCAATTATTAAGCTCAAGCAATTATCCCCCTGCCCCAGCCTTCTAAACAAGTAACTAGGAAACTGGGATTTGTGCATCGTACCTGGCAGGAGCTATCCTCCCCTCCCCCTCTCAACTTGTGTCTTTTGTGTTTCCTCTGCCTCTGGTCCATGCTTGCAGCCTCTAGCCAGGGTTTAAATCCCAGGACCCAGCTGTTCCTCTGTAACTCTATCGTCCAAGCCGTGCTGCTCCTGCGTGAAATGACTCTCAGATATGTGTTCAGAAGAGGAAGAGGGCTAGACCTAATTCCCAATATAGCTGCTAATCCCACTAATTCCCTGAAGTCTTTCAGTCCTGGGTTGCTTGTCCTTTCTTTCCTACTTGAAATCCTGAGGTGTCACAGGCAGCAGGAGTGGAGAATAAGAAGGTCCTGGAGGTTGGTGGCGTTTGGTTCATTTAGGACTCTGAAAGCACAGGATGCTTAATTTTACCTCAACAAACATGTTTCCACTATTCCATGATGTGTTCCTGACAATTCACAGATAGTTTTTCAATCTGTGCTATCATTTTTGACCCACGTGAAAGTAAGCTGTCTTAGGTGTGTGTGTAAATGAGTTCCTTTGAGTATCAGAGTGGACGGCTGTTCTCTTTTCTTGTGAAACCAGTGTGTTTCTCAGCCAAAGGATCTGTAAAATAGTGAATTTTCTAAGATAGCTGCAAATTATATACAGATAAATAGTAGAGAAGAGAAAGATTAGATTATTATACAGAAATAAAATCTGAGAGTTTGCAGGGCAATGATGGCACTCACCTTTAATCCTAGCACTTTGGAAGCAGAGGTAGGCAGATCTCTGTGACTTTGAGACCAGCGTGGTCTACAGAGCAAGTTCCAGGACAGGCTCCACGGTTACAGAGAAACCCTGTCTGGGAAAAACAAAACAAAACAAACAAAATCAGAGAGTTGGGAATGCTCAGGAGTAGAATATTTGCCAGCCATGCAAAAGGACCTTCTGTTTGACCCATGAGACTGGAAAGAAAATGTTTATATACATGCAAATTCTGTCTGATATATACTAATACCACCCATGCAAAAACTGTAAGTCTCTGGTTTAATAGATGGGTCGAGTTCTCCATGTTGCGCTCCATAATTATAATTGGAATTGCATAGGTACCGCATCTTTGTCTTGTTTTCTTGTAAGAAAAAATTCCTAGCATGCTTCCTCCTGTACTTTTGTAGCATACTTGGGTGAACTTTTATTTAAGTATGGTTACCATCTTGAAGGTACCTAGCGATTTGCTTTTTCTTCTTGCTTTCCGGGCGAGTCTTGGGAAGAAAAAAAAAAGTCTGTCCATTGCAACTTCCATGAGATGTAGGCTGTCCTCACTGCTCACTTTGTCCTTATAAGGCTATCCTGTTTTATCACTTCCTGCTTCAGCTCCTGACTTTTCCTTCTTCCCCCTCCGGGCCCTGGGTGGATGCTTGCTCCTGTGGCAGGGCAGTCAGTAACTGCTCACAGCTGTCTGAACCGGGGGTGGGCCAGGCGCAGCCAGCATGGAGTTTTAACTTTCATTTTACAAAGAAGCTTGTTTGGTTGTTGCGGCAGGCAAGTTCTAACTGGTCTTTACCTCTTGTTCTCCTAGAACACTGAAAATCTCCCCCAGCACTTTAGAAGAGGGACCCTGTCCGTGCTAAAGAAGAAGTGGGAGAACCCCGTGGCCGGAGGCGAGTCCCACACAGACACACTGCCAGACAGCAGCAGTGAGGGTGTGCGCAGAGTGGACCACCCTCCGGCCAGAGTGAAGGAGGGCGCTGCTTCTGGATCCAGAGCAGGCCAGGAAGGGCTAACCCAGCCCAAACCTAGATTTGGATCTCGTCCGGAAGCCGTTATTCAGTGTCGGCATTCCCCCTCAGAGGACAGCCTGAATCTGAAAGCCCAGGCCACAGAAAGTCAGAAGATGGAAAATTGTCTAGGAGATTCCAGGCACGAAGTAGAGAAATCCGAAATGAGTGAACACACAGATGCTTCGGGCAAAATAGAGAAATACAATGTTCCGCTGAACAGACTAAAGATGATGTTTGAGAGAGGTGAACAAAGCAAGGTAAGAGCCGGGTGGGCCTGGAGCTCACTGTGGAAAACCTGGAGTACTAACTGTCTGTCTGGTCAGCTGCAGTGGAGTCGAATGTGCGCTCAGTATGTCTTTTTATTCGAGTGCATTAATAAAAGTCTCAAGTGAGCTATTTACACGGGTGCTGTCCTGTTTCCTGTTAAGTCTAGCTCATTCTGGGATTCAGGTTCGTACCTAAAAATAAAGAGAGTTGGATGCCAATATGACTGTGCGCTCTCATACACTTGCCCCTTTAATTTGTCTTCCCATGTCTTTTGTCGTTTGTAGCCTTGGGGGTGAAATTGCTGCTTGAATGGCTTTGGACACAGCTGCAGCCTGAGAGTTAAGGCCAGAGAGTAGCATTGAGACTGAGGCTTGGTTGTCTCCGTGCTAGCTGAGTCCCTTCTCTTCTCAACCTCCTCATCTGCGCCTCCCAACAAATGTTTTTTATCAGCTAAACTCCTCTCCCAGGAAAAATCTGAAAGCCCGACTAGGGCAGCTAGCTTTCAGGAGTTTTGACTTGCAAATGCACAGGGTTGCGTTTTCCTGCATCTGCTAATGAAATTTGATACTTCATGTGGATCGCACACAAGTCCCCAGAGGGAATTACTTAACTAGAAAATGAGTTGCACATGCTGGTGCCTTGCAGCACGCTCCAGGGGCTGCAGAGCAGGTCAGTTTTTCCAGTTTTCTCATACTTTCCTACATATCTGGCGTTGTATGCGGGATAGTTTTTTACAACAGCCCTCATAATGAAATAAACGTATCTGACGGGTAGCAAAATCATCATATACTCCACATTTCAACTACTTGGGAAAGCTGTCTTTTCTTAAGCCAAATATTTGGCCCGAATCCTGGTATTGGTGAAGTAATAGTATAAGGCATTCCTTCCGAGATAAAGAAAGTAGCTCATCCTCTCCAGTCCTGGGTTATGTCTGGGGTGGTACTGTCAGTTCCTTCCAGTAACTCCCTGAAGCTGCTGCCTCCCTACCCAGGGGAGGCCATGACTGGAAACCGTCTTTGAATGCTAGGAAGAACTTTTTAGGTTTTGGGCTATTTGTTTTGTTTTGTTTATTTTTTTAGCTAGAACCCTTTTCTGTGTATGCAGTTTAGCTCCACTTTGACCTGAAAACAATTGACAAGTAACCGCAAAGCAGTCCCATGGCGTTTCTTAAGCTCTCCTCTCAACTTCTTTAGTTCCCTAGGCCTGCCCAACTCCCTCTTTCTCCTTTATGGTCTTGATAAAGAAATGTTTCTTATTAAATGGGAAGAAGAATTTTAAATGGAAGGAAAAAAATGTCAGAGAGCCTAAGGAGAGAGGAAGGGACTTTGTTGTGGCTCAAAGCCCCTTTGTGAACCCCTCACAGACCCGCCGGGGGTGGGGTGGCTGACATCATGCAGCACACAGAGTGTGGATTCAGTGGAAGGGCCAGTGCGTGTCAGAACTGGCCCCAGGTAAGAGATGGTGGGACAGCAGCAAACGAAAATGCTAATTATGTGTAAGGCTTTGGTGAGAGACCTCTTTCTTGGAAATGTCTATTGAGAGATGGGTCAAGACAAGTCTATTAAAGAAATAGTCAAAGCAGAGGGTGGGGGTACCCACTATATAAAGACTCATGGTGACCCCTGGTGACCCATGACTCATCTTTTCTTTCTTTCTTTTTTCTTTTTTTTTTTTTTTAAGTTTTTTGAGATAGAGTTACTCTGTAGCTTTGGAGCCTGTCCTGGAACTTACTCTTCACTCTAAACCAGGCTTGCTTTGAACTCTCAGAGATCTGCCTGCCTCTGTTTCCGCAGTGATGGGATTAAAGGCATGTGCCACCACTGCCTGACCCCAGGACTCATTTAGCTAGCCAAGCTACAGTGTGGTAGGTAGCCTATGTGGATTCCCTGACTCTGCATAAGAAAGGAAAAGAAGGACAGCAGGAGGGTGGGAAAGAGAGAGATCCTGCAGCCTCAGCGTAACCTCATCGCTAAACCCTTTGGAAGACGGCTCTGAGAGTTACATTGCCTGCATATATGTCTGTGTGCTGTGTGCACGCCCACGGACACCAGAAGAAAGGATGAGGTCTGGATCTCCCTGGAACTGGAGTTAAAGATGGGTGCTGGCAATCAAACCCAGGATTTTGTATTGTTTTGTGTTGTTTTGAGGCAGGGTCTTATGTAGCCCAGGCTGGTCTTGGGCTCTTTATCCCCTGCTTCCTTCCAAGTGCTGGGATTATTGGTGTATATCATCACCACACCTGCTTCATATACCTAATTAATCTAGCTTTTTATTGAGTTACTACATCACCGATAGCTTATATGGTTCGAAAGTGTGGGACTGTTGTAACAGATTTCTCACTGTAGCCGAACAGTTCTTGTAAAAGACATATCTATATAAATCACATTTGGTGATTAATGTCTCCGTGTAATCCTCCAGTCTTTTGTGGTGAGATTATAATGGTGCCCCTTGAGCAATTCTTTTTTTTTTTTTTTTTTGGTTTTTCGAGACAGGGTTTCTCTGTGGCTTTGGAGGCTGTCCTGGAACTCGCTTGGTAGTCCAGGCTGGTCTCGAACTCACAGAGATCTGCCTGCCTCTGCCTCCTGAGTGCTGGCCCCTTGAGCAAGTCTGATACTCTTCATTGCTTCTTGTCCGAGTGGCTGTTGTTGGTGTATCATCGATCAGTCATCTTCTAGTCTGTATTGTGCCAACTAACTGCTTCCTGCTCCAGCCAGTCTGATTTTAGTCAAACATGTTGAAACTCAGTGCCAAGACTGGAACATTACATAAGCATTTGTGGGGCAAAGGCAACACCATCTGTGAGCCAGGTACCGACCTGGGTCTGAGCTTCCTGCTGTAGGGCTCACTCCTGACTAGGCAGCAGATGCACATAGATGCCCAGCTCCTCTGGCCTCTAGATGCTGCTATGTAGACCCTTGAACTACTCGGGAGCCTCTAAAGTTATTTTGTCTGGTTTCCTGCTCTCGGTTAGGATATCATAACTCCAGCTCAGCTTTACACATGGAAACAGCTGAAGTTAGAGAAGTTATGATAGGGGAGGGTGTGCCTGATGTCATGTGACTAATCTCAGAACAAGGGCTACCATATAGCACAGGCTCCATGGATATTAGAACTGGTTACTGTTCAGACACAAATGGCTATAGCCCTGACTGTCTTTGACATCTGTGGAAACAGATAAACTTGAAGCTCGTATAATAGTGGTATCCTCATAAATAAGCTCTCTAATCCCTGTCCCCCCAGACACTGTCTCTCTGTGTAGTCCTGGCTGTCCTGGAATTCACTCTGTAGACCAGACTGGCCTCGAACTCACAGAGATGCACCTGCCTCTGCCTCCTGGTGGCTGGGATTAAAGGTGTGTACCCCAACCACCCAACATACATACAACTGTGTTTTATGTAGCTTTAGTCACTACATAACTCCCTGTTTTGTTGCCTTTATCTCATTTTACTTTATTTTTGTTTAGTCTTTGTTACATAGGCCTAACTGTATCTTCTTAGTTCATGCACTTCCCCTTTTGTTTTTGTTTGTTTGTTTGTTTGTTTGTTTTCAGGACAGGGTTCTCTGTAGCTTTGGAGCTCTGTAGACCAGTCACAGAGAGATGTCTACCTCACAGAGTACTGGCATTAGAGGCATGAGCCACCACCACCCAGCTGCATTTCCCCTTTTCTGGGCTGTATTTCATAATCTGCGTAATCATTTTCCAGTAATTAGATTTTTTTCTATCTCTGAGCAATTTGGCAGCAATGTTTTGTTTTGAATAACTTCTTTGGGCTATATTCTATGGTAGTACCATATTTAGAAGATACATCTTTCCGGATGTTTTTCTTACATATTTCCAGCTTGTCCTCAAAGATTGTACTGTGTCAAAACTAGCCATTGCCTGAGCACATGACCCCAAAAGCCTCATCCACTGTTGGCTTTGTAGGGTTCTTAACTATTATTTTTATTTTATGTATGTACATGTTTTGCCTGCATGTCTGTGTACCACATGGGTACCTGAAGTCCATGGATGCTAGAAGAGGGCGTCAGAATCCCTGGAGTTATGGATGCTTGTGAGCCCCCATGTGCTGCTAGCAACAGAACCCGGGTCCTCTGGAAGAGCAACATGTGTTCTTAACTGCTGAGCCAACTCTCCAGCTCCCATATTTTTAACTACTGAATTAGCTTACTAGATATGAGATAGCACTTTTTCTTTTTCTTTTTTTTTTTTAACTTACGGAGCACTTCATGAACTTGCATGTCATCCTTGTGCAGGGGCCAGGCTAATCCTCTCTCCTCTCTCTCTCTCTCTCTCTCTCTCTCTCTCTCTCTCTCTCTCTCTCTCTCTCTCTCTCTCTCTCTCTCTCTCTCTCTCTCTCTCTCTCTCTCTCTCTCTCTCTCTCTCTCTCTCTCTCTCTCTCTCTCTCTCTCTCTCTCTCTCTGTGTGCTTATTATAAGGTGAACACAATTTTTATGGAACACTCAGAAAATGTAGAAACATTCTGTAACTTCTGGTGATAACTGCTTCTCTGTATTTATTAGGTTTTCTTTTTTTTGTGAGGGGGGGTATTTTGAGACAGGGTTTCTCTGTGGCTTCTTCTCTGTCCTGGAACTAGCTCTTATAGACCAGGCTGGCCTCGAACTCACAGAGATCCGCCTGCCTCTGCCTCCCCAGTGCTGGGATTAAAGGTGTATGCCACCACCGCCCACCTTGCCCGGCATTTATTAGGTTTTCTATTGCAGTGATAAAACACCAGGACCAAATGCAACTTAGGGAGGAAAGGGTTTGTTTTGCTCACACTTCCAGGTCACACTTCATCACTGAGAGAAGTCAGGGCAGGAACCTGGAGACAGGAGCTGAAGCAGCTTACTGGCTTGCTCTCCATGGCTTACTCAGCCGGCTTTCTTATAGAACCCAGGGCCTGCAGCCCAGGGATGGCCCCACCCACAACGGGCTGGACCCTCCCACATTAATCATCGTTCAAGAAAACATACCACAAGCTTTCCCATG